CAGGGGCCCACGCCGCTCTCTCCCAGGCCCGGCGGCAGACCTAAGCGGCCCCCCAGGCCCAGCGAGTGCAGGAGGGGGCTGGCCAGGGGGCTGCCTGCTGGAGGGAGGAGGGCTGCTTGTGAGTAAGCGTAAATACGTGAGCGCTCTCTGCTCATGAGTAGACCATTGGGCAGGTGGTACCGAGGGGACAGTTGCTGAGGTCTCGGCCTTCCGACCGAGGAGCGGAGAGCAGTGGCCTCCCTCCACAAGCTCCTGGACCCCCGCCTCATCTTTCCCCTGCCAGCCTCGCTTTTACTTGGACTTCTCTGCCTGTAGAGTCTGCGGGGCGCACGGCCCTTGCCTTTGGCGCTGACCCTGACGGGCCCCCTCTGCGCAGCCGGTGCGGGGAGGGGACGCGGCCGGGGCTGCCTGGGGTCTGGTCCCTGCTCAGCCATGGAGCTCCCTGGGTGACGCTGGGCCAGTCCCAGGTGCTCAGCCCAGCCTACCTCACAGGGTTGTTGTTATGGGGATAAGAATTTGAGGAGGAGCAAAATGATGTGAGCCACCTTGAACTCTGGGGTAAGAAAAAGACGGGATATAACTCTAACCTGGTGCCCATCGTGGAGCAGAAACGAGGAATTTCTCCATCCTGAATTTGGTCGAGCAGGGAAGGCTTTTGCGAAACGCACATGGCCATGACTGCCAACGCACCTCCCACGGCAGGATCTGGGGCAAGCCACGCCCAGGCACCGCCTGCGAGCCCTGGCACAGACGTCCGGCACAGCGGCAATGCCGTTTGGTTGCCGGCTTGCCCGGCATGGGCTCAGACCCTGTGGCCTGATGCCGCACACACAGGGAGGGCCGCCCTAGCAGCCCCTCCGCTTTCAAGCTGACAGAGTGGCTGGAAGGCCTTTAGCAAAGAACCTGGTCTTCGCTTGCGTGGATGCAGCATGAGTCTTGAGCTCTTGCATCAAGAGGACTCTGACTGGCAACGTCTTGCCGGGACTCCGTGCCTGCAGGAGTTCCAACCTTGGAGCAGCCTCTTGAACAAAGCACCACCCGGCTGCTGCAGAAGCTCTGAATTTAGCCAGACGAGAAACACTGGATGTGCCCAGGAAAGCCGATCCGTGCAACCCGCTCTGCTGCAATCAGGAGCATTGTTGTTCTCTGTAATTTCTGTCAATTGTCAGCAAATGTCAGGAAGCCACGACTGACATCTTGCTTCAGGGCACACCTCTTCACAAGGCTGCTTGCATTTCTAATCAAGGGCTGAAGGTCTGTGTTGTCTGGTTGAAGATTGTGAATTAAAGCTCAGTATGTTTTACAAGTTGGACACCTGTGGCCGGAAGAGCACACCTGCACCGAGTCCCGCAGAAATGGCTTCCAGGAAACAAGGCACAGCAGCCCAACCGTGCCCCGCGGCTGTCTTTCCTAGTGGTCTGTTTGTTTGTTTTGGATAACAGGGCCTTGGCTGGAGAATTCAACCAGAACGTTGTCCCTCTGAGCAGAAGAGCGAGGCTCTGAGAGCCTCTTGGGTGGGGGCTCTCACAGATCCCGATGGCCTCCAGCATCTCCGAATGTAGCATCGCCCCGCTGGTGGCAGCAGCAGCAAAAGCTCCCCCCAGAGACTGGAGCACTGCTCACCACGGAGACACTGAAGGGGCTCCTCGCACAGACAAGCCTTTCTCACTTTTGCAGACACGAAGGGGAGAATTCGGTCTGCGACTGGCGTGCCGGGAGCCTCCAGGAGCAAGAGAAGCTGCAGCCCCAAGAGATCTGCCTTGGAGGGCAGGCGCCCACCTCCTCCCTCTCTGCCTCTCCAGGGGCAGGTGAATGGCGGTGGCAAGAAACAGGTCCCACCCACCCCCTGGCGCTTTCCCCGGGAAGACCTGGCGACGTGGCTGCACCACGGGGAGGGTGCCACGGGAGGTGTGGAGCCTGCCAGGCAGGGCCGTTTCGGCCGCCTCCACTGCTGCTCAGGGCCACCTGGGCAGACACTGGTGCTGGTGGGCCTCCCAAGGCTCTGGGGTGCTGGAAACGGTCTGGTGGTGCCACCCAAGGGTGCGGTCACAGCTTCAGGCCTGTCCAGCCAGAGGGAGAGTGGCCTCCCTCCCTGATCCACCACCTGCTCTGCCGGGACCTCCCAGGCCAGGAATCGGCCCCCGTGAGTGCAGAAAACCCTCCCGCAAAAGGAGCTGGGTGCCTGAAGACCAGGCAGGGCCCCTTCAGGGAACAACCCTTCTGGGGCCAGGCTGCTGGCCTTCAGGCGGCCCCACAAAGGTCCTGTGGAGCAGCCATTTGTCCGAGCGAGCAGCGGGCCGCAGGGTCCTCTCTGCAGTCCTGGCCCAGCTGGGCCAGCCCAGATCCACCCTGACCCGACGTGGCCAGGGCTGGAGGATTCCTTGCCTTGGCCTTCTTGCCATACAGGCCTAGTGCCTCTGGGCTCGGAACCAAGCCAGGCAGAGCAGGAAGTTCCCAGGCGAGGCTCCAAGAGGGCAGCAAGGCTCAAGAGGCAGAGTACCCGGAGGAGGGCCTTCTCTGCGGTGGCGCCCCATCTATGGAATGCGCTCCCCAGAGAGGCCCACCTGGCACCGTCGTTATTTGCTTTTTGGCGCCAGGCTAAGACCTTTTTATTCCAGCAGTACTTTAATAAGTTTTAATAGTGTCTTTTCTATGTTTTTAATTGCAGCCAGTGTGGGTTGGGAATTTTATTTATGTTATATTTTACATTGTAAGCCATCCTGAGGCTTTTTGCGAATAGGACTGCATATAAATATTTTAAATAGATAGGCAGGTAGGTAGGTAGGTAGGTAGGCCCTGCACATGATACAGGGAGGGAGGGCGCTTTGGTAAAAATGTGCAGATTTATTTATTTATTTATTTATTTTATTAAAACATTACTATGCCGCCCCTTGCCGAAGCCTCGGGGCGGCTCACAACATAATTTCCTCCGATGTGTTGAGTGCAGGCGGGAGCCGAGAACTTCCCGGCGGCCCATTCAGTGCTTCAGGACGCCAGGTGACTGCCCTTCCTTTTCTGCCTGGGCCGTGGCTCCAGTTCAGGGAAGAAGCCCGTTGGGCCACATTCAAGGCGAAACTGGGTGTCCCTCTGGGTGGGACGGTGTAACGTGGTGTCCAGGAGCAGCAGGGTGGATCCAATGGCCTTCAGGGTCCCTTCCGACTCTACCGTGAGTCCATGATTCTTCGATTCTAGGTTTCCCCCCTGCATCACGGAGAACAGTCCATCTGTTGTGTTCTCAGACTGGCTTAAATGCTGGGCACAGATTGCAAACCCCCAGTTTGAAGTCTCTGCTCAAAAAAAAACAGGCTTGATGGGACTTAATGATCCAGTATCCAGAATCTGATCCTGCCTCTGAAGGGAGGAAGCACAGTTTGATCGAAAGACACAATTGCATCTGAGTAAAGAAAAGCTAGTTGGGTTCCCCACCCCCGCGCCCCATCTCTTTACAAAGAGGTGTCTGACCCGACGTGGCCAGGGCTGGAGGATTCCTTGCCTAGAGAAAGGGACCAGCCCTAAATCTGCCGTGCCATTGCAGCGATGCAGGATTCTTCTGGGGCAAGAGAAACAGCAACTTGTCATTTCCAAGGCACGCTTCTACAAGGTTACCATTTTTTCCTTGGGCTCATCCAAGACAAATTAATGTTGGCAGCCACTGCATTTCTCCCTTGGGTGACGTCTCTGAGAAGAAGCAACCCAGGCAAGGCCTGATGCCCTTTGGAGAAAGGCTGCAGGCAAAGCCCCGTCTCGGTCCCAGCGTCTCCTGGTGGGCCTGGGGATGAACCCACGGCTGCCGTGGTGCTCCTGCTCTAGGAGCCCCTCGAAGGAAGTGAGGGGGTGGCTGCTAAGAGAAGAGCCTTTTCCAGCTTGGCCCCCAGGTTGTGGAAGGAACTCCACAGAGAGGTTTACAGGTCAGGCTTTTGGCGTTCACTCCACTTCATCCTGGAGGCTTAAGTGCCTGCAGGATTTCTTGTGCAATGGTTTATGCTTTAAATGCTTGCGAACTACCCAGAGGTTTGGCTTTGGTGGGCGGGGGTGGGGGGAGTCATAGAAATGTGACAGATGACAACAGAGGCCAAAATGCTGCCTGGGCATTCGAAGGCTCTGGTGCAGGTGCAATCACAGCACAGGTGTGCTGGTCGCCCAGGCAGATGGAGAGGAACGTAAAGTCAAAGGCAAGGCAAGGAATGAAACACGCCAGGCTCTGCTCATCAGAACCCCAGGTTTGCACCCCAGAGCCAACGTTGCCGTGGGCGCAGTGTCCAAGGCGAGTCTCCAGGCACAAAGGCCCCGCTGATCCCGATCCCCACCGTGCCTCCGAGCCACACCGATTCCTCAGCACAGTGGTGTGCTCTCCGGGCAGGTTTCCTGGCCTTGTGGCATCAAGGCAGCCAGTGGGAAAGGGCCCAGGCGGCAAGTCCCAGGGGCCACAGACAGGGCTGCCGCCGTGGCAGCCGTGGTGCCATATTCAGGCACTGGCAAGCCTTTCCTATTCAGGCATTTTCCCTGGTTAGGCTTTCTCGACTCATGTTCAGCAATGAAGACATCCTGTCACAATTCTTCCCCCTCCAGGGCAAGCTGTGTGAAAACAGGACTGCAACAAATGGCCTGAATGAGTGTGGCTTCCTAAATTAATTAAATGTGATACTTGCTTTGGCTCCAATCACATAGGATTAAAAAATGCGAGCAAACCACTGCCGCAAGGCTCGCCCGGGAAGCCCATCCCCTGCCAAGGGCCGCTTGAAGACGCCCACTCCAGCTTTTGGAGGGGCCCCCCGGCCAAAGGCGCGCGGGGCCAGGCGGAAGGCCAGCGGGGCCCTCCCGGCGGTGCGGGGCTTGGCCGCGCCGGGGCCCTCCCAGGCTAGGGCGCCCGGGCGGCCTCCCCAGTCAGGCATTTCTAAG